GCCCCTCACCCTGAGCAGGTCTATCTTTACTGTGACAACAGGACATCAGACAAGGGGCGGCCTCACACCGACCCCAGAGGAAAACCCCAAACCGCATGGGCGTTGTTTCTTTCTGTGGGTGGACCCACAACCGTCAGCTACCTCAGGATCAACCCGTTCGCCCCTGCAAAAGCTAGCACAGATCGGGGGGGGGGACTCTGGGGAGGCCCCACGGCCCCCTCCCCTGCAGGTGAGCCCCACTTTGGGAGCTGAGAGCTTCTGGAAGTCACAGGGAAGGAGCGGGGCGGGGGGACAGGTGTCCCCATTCCCAGTACCATAACATGTTAGTGCTTCTGTGCATCGGGACATTTTCTGAGACCCATCTTTTTTCTGGTGACTTTTGGGCAGTTGTGAGGCGTGTTGGTCAGGGAGCTTGTGGGATGTGACTGGGTTCACAGTTTGTTTGTGCTAATCTCTAATCCCCAATCTCATGATTAGAGAGGAGTTGTGGGTTTGGGGGAGAAAGAGCACAGATGTGACACTGTAGTCATGTCATATCCAGGGTGACTGCGCTCAGCCTGACTCACCCCTGTGCACGCCGACCTTGGCCACCTGCCCTGTAAAGTTATAACATCCCCCCCTTTGGATTCTCTGCTCTTGGAAGCAGCCCAGACTCGGGGAGGGGGGCAGTTAGGTGAGCAGAAACGTTTATCTTAGTATATCGTCACCCCACCCAGGCCCACTGCACCCCAGTTCTGTCTGTATTCTGCCGTCCATTTGGCCCACCAAGAAAGGCCTTTGCTTATCGGCTATAGCAATCGTCCAAGCATAAGGGCTAGGTCGGGACAGGTGTGGTGGGAGGGGAGAGGCCTCCATGCCCAGCCGTGTCCTCCTACGTCCCATGTTGCCTGGAATTTCACATTAGAGATTCATTCCTTTGGCGTTGATGAGGTACTTCCTAAAGCCTTAATTAACGACCATATTAACAAGAGGTAATCTTATGAACACTATGTCCATCCAAGGTAAGAAAGGACCCAAGATGAAAGGCCAAGGATTGACCTCACTACTTGGGTCCTCCCTTCACTTCTTGGTGGGTTCACCGAGCTGATGATGCATCCAGGCGTTTCTGGCCCGGGATGCCCTACCTGGTCTTGTCCCTCTTGCAGTCTTGGGGTGACTCTGGCCCTCCCCAGGCCCCTCTGTCTATCCTCCCGTCCAGAACGTGTGCATTCCCCAGACCAGGTGGGTCCACAGGAAAGGCGATGGGGCGGACCCTCGAGGCGTCCCGTCTGTGAAGCATGCTACCCATGTTGACTTCTTCCCCCCAGCAATCTCGGCGAGGCTCCCTTCTGCCTTTCTCCCCACTGCTTTGTCTTTTAGAGCACGACCAGGTCCCCGGCCTCCCTTTTGTGGACGGCCACCACTGTAGGACACGTGCGTCTGATTGTCTCCAGCCCTGGGGAGCGAGCCAGGTCTGGGGAGTGAGCCAGGTGCGCCCGGGGCGGGTCACGACGGCCGGCCACCCGCCAGGTTATCATCGAGTTGCACCTCCGAGCCCTGGTGTTTGCCTGGCGTATGTGTGCACGTTGTGTGCCTGTGCACCTATGGGTGTGACCTTCACATGTTTGCCAGGGGAACAGAGGCCCGGTTTTGAGTTTGATATCCCGACAGGACAGCACAAATATATAAATAAAATGTCATGGTACAAGTCTCCTAGCAAATTAATATTCCTATCTCTATATGTAGTTAAAATATCAGATATACAACCTTATATGATACACGTCATATGTATAGATACATAAGTGTTGTATATAGGTTGTATATCATCTAATGTTGTATACAACAATATATCGCATATATCACATATACTTGCGTATATATTTATGTGTACAATATAAAATGTATGATGATAAGTAAATATATAATAGTTATATGATTGTACAATAAACATTATATATTATATAATCATATATAACATTGTAATGTAATGTAATATAACGTAAGGTAATAACGTAATTATTACATACAGTAATTATATGTAATACAATATACAATATACGATAGGTATACAAGAGGTTATATACAATATAATGTTATATGTAATAATATTATAGGCTATATATAATTTTATATGAATATATACATCATAATTATATATAACATATATAATGATTATATGATGATGTCATACAATAATTATACATACTATTGTATATAACATATTATATTATTATATGCAACATTGTACATTATGTAATGTTGTATATCTTCTGCTTTTAAATATATAAACAATTATAATTAGTTTAATATATTATATATTATTTTGTATGTTTTAATATGTTATTTAATCAAAAATCGTATCATTTTTTTCTGTATTTAAAAAATGATCTTGTCTATTTGTATTATGTGTATACATAATGGACCATCGCTCAGCCTGGAAGACCAGGGCCATCCCGCCGTGTGCAGGAGGAACACGGCTGGACCTCGAAGGGGTGAGGCCGTGTGCAACACGTCACACAGAGGAAGTCACGTTCTGCACACTCACAGTTGCACGTGGATCTCAAGTGCTCAGATCATGGAAGCAGAGGGCAGACGCGGCTTCCAGGGGCTGGAGGTCGGGAGACTCAGAGACGTTGGTCCAGGGGCACGAGTTTTCTGCTCTACGACGAGTCGGTTCTGGGGTATCTTCTAGATCGGCGATGGCACCGATATTGTGGCGATTTGTGACCACCACACGGGAAGAGTCACACACCCAGGGATTTACAATGGGGGAGCTTAGGGGGCTCCTGGGTGTGTCTGACTCTTGATCTCCACTCAGACATTGATCTCGCGGTTTGTGGGTTCGAGCCCCGCGTCGGGCTCTGTGCCGACAGCTGGGAGCCTGGATCCTCCTTCGGATTCTGTGTCTCCCCCTCTCTCTCTGCCCCTCCCCCACTCACACTCTATCTCTTCTGTCCCTCAAAAATGAATAAATATTAAAATAAAAAATAAATGCCTTTCCAGTGGGGGCGCCTCCGTAGCTCAGTCACTTAAGCATCCAACTTCAGCTCAGGTCATGAACTCACCACCGCGGGTTCCCTGGGCTCTGAGGTGACTCCCTCCCATCTTCCACCTGCTCCCTCTCCTCTCATCCCACGCCCCAGGGGAGAGTCCTTCTGGAGACCAGACTCTCAGATCCAGGCAGGGCAGGGCCACTGAGATCCAGGAGGGGCAGGACCCCTGAGATCCAGGAGGGGCAGGGCCACTGAGATCCAGGCAGGGCAGGACCCCTGAGACCCAGGGGGTTAGGGCCGCGGAGATCCAGGCAGGGCAGGGTTGTGCCCCCTCCTGAGGCTCCAGGGGAGGGTCCTTCCTGCCTCTCCCAGCTTCTGGGGCTCCAGGCGCCCCTGGGCTTGTGGCCACATCCCTCCCCACTGAGACCTGCGGACCTGCCTTTGACAAATGACCTTCCCACCCATTAACCACAGACGACGGATGTCTTGAGCAAGTTCCCAGAAAGCTGTGAGCACAGCAATCGCTGTTATTATGGAGATCGCTCCCCCTCTTCTTGCCCCGACACACCCCACCCTGAGGCTGACTGACTCTCAGGGTGACCCTGGGGGGGGGGGGGAACAGCCTCATTGATTCATGTGCCTCCCGGTGAATCAAATGCACATAAGAAGCCAAAGCATTCCGGAAGGCACACAATTCTAATGGGACACACAGCAATTCTGCCTAGTGTTTGTCCCCAGCACACCCTCTGGGTCCCCTTGTGCCCCAGCCTCAGCCCCTGTGTTGTGACAGAAGCCAGGTCTGACCTCAGTTGCCTGCACCCAGCCCCACTGTCCCGCCGTGGTCTGCCATCCATGGCCACTGGAGGTTGCCACAAAAGCCTGGACACAGACCTGATGCCTGGTGTGGTGGCAGCCGCTTTGCACCATGAGGCAACAGAGGCGACAATGCTGATTTACTAAGAGAGGTGCTGGGAAACCATTAAAAACCCAGGTGCTCTTGCTGACATCATGAAGCTGAAGCTGTCAACCCCGCCCTGGAGGGCTTGTCTCTAGAGTTCTTCCTAAGTAAAGAAAAAAAATAACCATAATAATTCCCGGATTTAGGCCATTCTTTTTCATGACTTGCTGTTAGAAGCCTTCGTCACGAGTCAGTTATGTGAAGAGACAGGCACACTTCTCCAGCCTCTCACTGAGTCCTCCCTCTAGATGCAAAGACCCCCTCTCAATGGCCCAGGAGGTGGGGTCCCTCGCCTCCAGTTAGCATCTGAGACACATTACGCATCTGGGACAATCTCGCCTTTCAGAAAGCACTTCGGGGTGTCTGCTTGTCCTGGAGACGTGTCAGGACAATGCGTTCCTGCCTTCTTTTTTCTGGGGTGCCACTGATCGAGCCACATGACCAACACGATCGCCCCCTTAGGAGGTCCAAGTGCCCTGCCGGGGCTCGCGGTGCCCCCACAAGAAGGGAACGCCGCTGGGGTCCCTCAGGTGTCACCCTGGCCTCTCCGTCCTTCTCTGGGGGCCTTGGGAGGGTGGCCGTCCACATGCCAGGAAGCTGATGTCCATGCCAGCCCTTAAAGGGTGCAGGAGAAAACACAGCCCAGTTTCCCAGGGCCAGAGTGGTTATTTCCATCCTGTTCTCCCTGCGGGACCTCCACATTCCTCCCCACTCACTCAGGATCGGCCCCCAGCTCCCCAAGGGCACAGGGACATCCGGTCCCTCTGGCCTCCTCACGGCCAGCCCCGAACAACCTAGCCGCAGGGACCCAGTTGGCCTGTGCCCAGCTTCTCCCCGTTTGACGTTTCTGGGGTCTAGGACAAATTCCGGACCCCAGGAGGGATACGAGTGCAACTTCTCACTCATATGGCCACGGGAACGTGCAGCTCACGGCCGGCCCCAGCACATCCACCTGGGGGTGCGGCCCGTGGGCAGGGACCTCACTGTTCCACCCCGAAGTCAACCACATGCACAGGGGCCACAGAGCAGGGGACAAAAACTCAGCCTTCAGGCCTGATCCGGCCCCCAGCTTGCTTTTGTCAATAAAGTTTTATTGGCACACCGCTGTACCCATTTGGTTACACGTCGCCTCCGGGCGCGTTCACGACCACCGCAGAGTCGAGGGATCTCAACAGACGCCGCGTGGACCTCGGAGCTTAACTGTTTACCATCTTCTTCCTTTCAGCCGAAATGTTTCAACCCTGAGCTCAGAGATGAATAGTCACAAAAAGGTGTCAAATGCACTCCACGGCCTTCGATGCATTCATCCAATGAAGCCTGATCTGGAAGAGAGGTATGCACCAGATCGTCTAAAAGCCTTAACTTGGGCCAAGGGGTTGCTTTATCCTTGGCGGCTGGAACCTGCCCATGGGACAGGACAGTGGGCACAGGTGAGTCCCTCTGATGTGTTTAAAGAAACTGAAGGCACAGGGAGTCAGTATGCTTCCTGGAGATCCTATGTACCCGATGGATCGATACCTAGATAGATAGAGAATAGATAGATACATAGATAGGATGGATGGATGGATAGGTAGATGTAGATAAGCGATAGACAGACCCCCGCGTGTCCCCCTGCAGGTGCCTGCGAGGTCAGCGCTCCGGGAGACCTTCCAGAATATCATCCCTCAGTCCCAACTGCCTGGGTCTCCCACGGGACACAGGTGCCTGAGCTCAGAGCTCGGCCCCCGCCCCCGGGGGGTCGGTGGTCTTGCAGCCAGCGAGCCCCGACCCCCCCAACCCTCCCCCGAGGCCATCCCTGCGCCGCCGAGGCCTGGGCCTTTTGGCTCGTCGCCAAAAGATGTCGCAATGCACACAGCTTTCCAACGCGAACGGAAATATGTTCCGCCAGCAATTTTGTAAAGTTCTTTTTTAATTTAAAAACAGAAACAAAGTACATAAGTTCAACGGAAAACAGGAGTTCGCCCCGTCTGGGGATGCGCCTTTCCTTACCCGCGTGCGGGGATGTTGCTGGGGGTCACTGCTGCGGGCCGGGGTTGCGCGCGGTTGCTCCGTGCGCACGCCCCCGGCGGGCCCTGCGGGGTCTCGCTGAGGCCCTCCGCCAGCACCCCTGAGGTCACAGGCTGCAGAGGCCACCCCCTCCTTCCCCTCCGCGGGGCCGGGCTGCGCGCGCGCGCGCGCCTCATAGGAGGCGGGGGCCCCCGACGGGCTTGGCCGTCCACACAGCGCTCAGGCGGTTAGTAACACAGGAAATTTCAAAACGGGTTTCCTCTCTACCCACCCTGCCTGCCTCCAGGGGCTGCGTGCCCGGAGGTGGACCCCGAGGCATTTGCATTTGGACAACGGCAGGCAGACCGCGTCATGCGCCCCGTGCGCCCTGCGGCAGCCACACACCGGCCACCCGGGCCGGCGGATCAGTCCCAGGCCCGTCACCCGGCGGGGCTGCAGCAGGAGGCTGGCCGGCTTCCAGACCCCAGACGCTGAGCCACAGCTGAGGGCGGCCCTCTGAGACCTCGTCCCCAGGTGAGCGCCGCGCCGGTTCCTGCACGGTCTGGAATGGGGGAGGTCGGGACCGGCGGGGTCTCAAGGGCGCAGACCGACGCGGCTGCAAGGGGCAGGTGCACGTGACCGCCCCATGGGGGTGCACGCGGAAGCAGAGAACCCCCCAGAGAGGGGGCACACGCCTCCCGAGCATCGAACCCCCCACCCCCTGCACACCCTCCCTCGGGCACAGGCAGCGGTGCAGAGGTGAGCCCCACGGTGCCCCTGCGGATGCCCCCCGCCCCCATAAAGGGCCCCCGCGGGGACCCTGAGGCCACCCCCTCCCCCCCCCCGACATGAGCTCGCTGGTGCGGGTCACTCACA